CTCAGGAGACTGAGGCAGAATTGCTTGAACCCAGGAGGCAGAGGTTGCAGTGAGCTGAGATGGCAGCACTGCACTTTCGCCTGGGCAACAGAGCAAGGCTCCATCTCAAAAAAAAAGAAAAATACACATCACCTTTGGTTGACTGAAATTCACCCTATGGATTTTCTGGCACACATTTCAGATGTACAAACTCACTCACTGTAATACTCTTTGTAATAGGAAATGGAAAGAAAGCCCAAATGTCTGTCAGTAACTGGTTAAACATACGGTAAATCCACATGGAATACAAATATAATATGTTTAACCAGTTTTCCACGTTTGTGAAAGGCAATTGGGAAGCTTTCTACATATGCATTTAGACAGGTCTCTAAGTTGTGATTGTACAAAAAAATCAGACATGAGCTAGTGTGTGTTTATTATATACATATTGTAACTGTGTATACTGCATATTGTGTACATTATACACATAGTGTGTATATTGTATTATCACATATCCAGTAATAATATATATACATATGAATGTATAAAAGAAAACAGCAGGCAAATAACCTACATTCACATTTGCCTGCTAATGTATGAGGACATTTTAGAAGGAAACATAACAAAGTAATAACTGTAATTACCTGAAGGCTGTAGTGGAACAGGCAATAAATAGTTTTTGCTGTATTTTTACACCTTTTCTCTTTTGAGCTTTGTGAAGGCATTACCTATTCAAAACATTAAAAAAAAACTTAAGTTAAAATTTAAAAGTTAAAAGAAAACATATCTTTACTTCAGATGTTCCTGAAAACACTTTAACACATAATACATGCAATACATATTTTCTATTTTGATTTTATCTGTCAGTTGAAATACCTTGAGAAACAAAATTAATCTTCCACTAATTAGCCTTTGTTGACTATGGCAGGAAGGGATGACAAACTCTAAAATTTCAAGTTCTTCAATACTCTTCCGGTCTTGACTTAACAACGTAAGTTTAGAAAATTAGGTCATTTTGTTCTTGCTTTCATCCTCTTGGTTAATACCCATGGACCCTAGTATTGGCAAGTTGTTCAGTCAAGCTTTATTCTTGCAATACCAACGTTTTCAGTGAGGCAAACATCAAGGAGACATTCGACAATGCCAGGACAAAAAACATCCATTAATCAGGATTTCTGAAGTGTGAAAATTCTCCCTCCTGACCCCACGATTCATTCGACTTCTTTTCCCTTGTTTCTTCTTCTTCTTCTTCTTTTTTTTTTTTTTCTGAGACGGAGTTTCGCTCTTGTTACCCAGGCTGGAGTGCAATGGCGCGATCTCGGCTCACCGCAACCTCAGCCTCCCGGGTTCAGGCAATTCTCCTGCCTCAGCCTCCTGAGTAGCTGGGATTACAGGCACGCACCACTGTGCCCAGCTAATTTTTTGCATTTTTAGTAGAGACGGGGTTTCACCATGTTGACCAGGATGGTCTCGATCTTTTGACCTCGTGATCCACCCGCCTCGGCCTCCCAAAGTGCTAGGATTACAGGCGTGAGCCACCGCGCCCAGCCCCCCTTGTTTCTTCATGATACTCTCCCCTTTTTTTTCAACTACGCAATAATTGCTCTCTTTTCTTTACAACTGAACATTTTATTTTCCAGAATAAAAACGTTTTAGTTATAGGACTGTCAAATAATTCTTCCTCAAACAAGCCCAAAGGAGAATGGCAGGGTCCTATGGAAGTAGCTGCCCGTCTTTTGGTGTAAAGGTCACCACCATTCCGCGTCTTTCAACTTATCGCAGCCGAGTTCTGAAGCCAGACGACCAAGCGTCACAGAGGCAAAAAGATCTCGGATAAATGTAAAATAATCCAGATGGACGCTGGGCTAACGTGCTTGCGAACTTGCATCGTGGGCTTCATCCCTCGCGCCGCGCACGTCCACAACCACCACCTAGCCGGCTTCGTCAAACACTCTTACCTGGCTGCGTGGTCGTTGGGCACCTCTCCCCAAATCGAGGCTGCACTTGCTCAAAGTCAGGCCCGAGGGCTTCGGGCTCCCGTTGGGGGTTGGGAAGGCGGCCAGGCCCGAGCCGCGGTCAGGCGGGGTCGGGGCTCCGGGTCTCCTCACGGTGCTGCCCAGATCCCGAGCTCCGCAGCCCGCGCCAGGGCTCGCTCGCGATTGCAGCCGCCTGCCCCCGCCTGAGGAATGTCGCTGTCGCCATTTGTCGCGCCCTTCTGCCTGCCACTGCTGTCTGCCTGCAGGTAGCACATCTCAGACATCCACGTCACCTTCGCCGCTCCGGGAAAACGGCAACAAGACAACATGGCTGCGCGCGTGCGCACTTAAGTGCATGCGCATGCGTATCCGTGCGTGTGCATGCGCGTGTGTATTCATACGTGCCTGCGATAGTGAACGTGCAAGGGGAGACGCACGTGTCTTCTCCCTCCTGCGCCCAATGGGAGGTGCACTTTTGGAAAGACCCCTTATGGGGAGTTTGCACCGGGTACAAGTTTCCTCTGGTTCCAAACAAGTGACAAAAGCCGCTTCGTATTTTAAAATTTAACAGAATAATTCTTTGTAAGGCACCCCTACATGATAATGTTTCAGTCCTTACCACATTTTCAAAAAGCTGTGCACAGTCTAGGCAACATAGCAAGACATCCTCTCAACAAAAAATAAAAATAATTAGCTAGGCATGCTCCCACGCTCCCGTGGTCCCAGCTACTCGGGAGGCTGAGGAGGGAGGATCACTTGAGCCCAGGAGGTCGGGGCTGCAGGGAGCTATGCTTGCACCACTGCATTACAGCCTGGGCAACAGAGTGACACCCTGTGTCACAAACAACAGCAGCAACAATAAAACTGCAGCTTTTGGTGCTGGAAACCTGAAACTGTCCTCTCATGGCTGCTGTTGTGTCACACAGACTTTCTCCTCTTCTCGGTACGCTCCGTTTTTTTGTTTTACCCTCCTTCCTTCCTACTTTCTTTCCTTTCTGCTCTCTTTCTGTTCTTCTCCTTCTCTTTGGCTGTTCCTTACTTTCACCTGCTTGGCCTCCTTCTCTTTACCCTTCTCTTCCTCTTGTAACTGAGGAGCTTAATTATGTTAATTCCTCAAAAACTTTACTGGGTGTGTTGGCTCATGCCTGTGATCCCAGCACTTTGTGAGGCCCAGGCGGCTGGATCATGAGGTCAAGAGATTGAGACCATCCTGGCCAACCTCGTGAAATCCCGTCTCTACTAAAAATACAACAGTTTACAAAATTAGCTGGGTGTGGTGCGCGTGCCTATAGTCCCAGCTACTCAGAAGGCTGAGGCAGGAGAATTGCTTGAACCCGGGAAGCAGAGGATGCAGTGAGCCTGGCGACAGAGTGAGACTCTACCTTCAACAACAACAACAACAACAACAACAACAACAACAACAACAACAACAACAGCTTACCATATGGGGCCAGGGTGGCTCACGCCAGTAATTCTAACATGTTGGGAGGCTGAGGTGGGCAGATCGCCTGAGCTCAGGAGTTCAAGACTATCCTGGGCAACATGGTGAAACCCTATCTCGACTAAAAACACAAAAAAATTAGCCAGGTGTGGTGGCTCATGCCTGTAGTCCCAGCTATTCAGGAGGCTGAGGTAAGAGAACCACTTAAGCCCAGAGGCAGAGGTTACAGTGAGACAAGATTGTGCCACTGCACTCCAGCCTGGGTGACAGAGCGAGACTCCATCTCAGAAACAACAAAACAACCCCCCAAAAAACCACTCACAGAGTGGAAAAAAGTATTTGTAAACTATGCACCTGACAAAAGACTAATATAGAGAATCTACAAGACATTCTCACAGGAGTAAGTTGACACTTCATTAAGGTTTTAATTTGCATTTCCTGATAATTGGTGATGTTGAAACTTTTTCATGTTTACTGGCTGTTTGTCTATCTTTTTTTTGGTGTCCGTACTGAATTTTTTTTAATTTTTTTTTTTTTTTAACTTGTTAGTTCAGTTTATTTTTTTCATAAGTAATTGGGGCACAGGTGGTATTTGGTCATGAGTAAGTTCTTTGTTGATAATTTATGAGATTTTGGTGCATCCATCACCCAAGCAGTATACACTGTACCATATTTGTAGTTTTTTTATCTGTCACCTCCTCCCTTTCTTCCCTCGCAAGTCCCCAAAGTCCATTGTATCACTTTTATGCCTTTGTGTCCTTATAGCTTAGCTCCCACATATCAGTGAGAACATATAACATTTAGTTTTCCATTTTGGAGTTACTTTACTTAGAATAATAGTCTCCAGCCTCATTCAGGTCACTGCAAATGCTGTTAATTCATTTCTTTTTATGGCTGCATGGTAGCATAGTATTCCATTGTATATATATATACACCATAGTTTCTTCATCCATTCATTGATTGATGGGTGTCTGGGTTCGTTCTACAATTTTGCTGTTGTAAATTGTGCCACTATAAACATGCGTAAGCAAGTATCCTTTTCAGCTATTGACTTCTTTTCCTCTGGGTAGATATCCAGTAGTGGGACTGCTGGATCAAATTGTAGTTCTACTTTTAGTTCTTTAAGGAATCTCCACACTGTTTTCCACAGCAGCTGTACTAGTTTGCCTTCCCACCAGCAGTATAGGAGTGTTCCCTGCCAACATCCAGTTTTCTTTTTTCTTTTTCTTTTTGATTATGGCTGTTCTCGCAGGAGTGAGGTGGCAACGCACTGTGGCTTTGATGTGCATTTCTCTAATCATTTGTGAAGTCGAGCATTTTTTCATATGTTTGTTGGCCACTTGTATATCCTGATTAGATAAGATACTGCACTTTACTCCAAGCCTGCTCCTGCAATTGTCTTCCCTTCAGAGATTCCTTACAGTGTGAGTGTTTTTGGTATGTGTGAAGTATATAAGCCAGTTGTGACTGAATGGAACTAATTGCTGAGGACGGCCCCTCATGACCACAGTCACAATAACCATAGCTTGTGGAGTCCTCCCCTTTTGATTAGGGCAGTCTGTGTGTCTCACCTTGATCAATCCAGTGCTATAGAAGTGACACTGTCTGCCATTCAAAGGTAGGCCCTCTGATGCTGTGCACCTTCTCCATGAGCCTCTTGAAAGGCTTTCTTTGGAGAAGGCTAATCACATTCATTAAGTCCAAGAACCACGAGACTCGTTATTTTAGGAAATTCGAGGTATGAATGGGGAGGTGAGGTAGTGAAGGAGATAACCAGCCAGTTTCCATGTATTCAACCAGCCCTAGTGCTGCGTTGGACATAAATAAAGCATCAACTGGAACTCAGCCTAAAAGATCCCTCCGAAAACATGACTCCCGTCACGTGAGTTCAGTAAATCCTTAAAGCTGGGAGAGAGCAAAATAAATGATTGCTTTTAGCCAATATGTGTTGGGAGGTCTGCTATGCCGCAATTAGTCACCGGAACAGCAGCAAAGCAGGGTCTGCTTGTTATGTCCGTGTGCATGAATTGTGTCTGTTTCAGTTCTACACGTCCTCTGATCTAAAACCATGACCATTTATTTTCAAATAGAAACCCCTGTATTCTGCCCATATAAAGTGGAAAACTCTTCAAATATTTGCACATAAGGATAACTTGGATTCTTCAAGGGAAATCACTGGGCTCCAGTGATTCTCTATTACTTGAATTGAAAACTTCACATGCAAAATTTGTCATCTTTTTCTTCAGTTTATTCACAGCAGCCCTCACAAAGCCAGGCACAGTGTTCATACACAATAAACATCCCAAGAACAATGGAAAAATCAAGACATTCCATAGGATTTTCCTCAAGTCACAGTTTCTTCCTAAAGCCACCAGGTACACCTGCATGGCTGTAAACAGCCACCTAACATTTCAGTGCCATGAATCATCTGAGATTGAGTAAGTATTTTGGGTCTGACGTCAACTAAGTCCCATAGAAGAACGCTGTTTCTAATGTCTTCTCAAACAATTCAGGGACCTTTTCCCTCATTTCTTTTGTCATTGGAAGGTTTTTATTCCCTTTGATTGAATGATGTCTCCCATAGAATGCCCTGGCCCCTCTTGGGGATGACCACTTCCTCTTTCCCCTTCTTAAAGCAAGAATCAAATCATGTGAGGTTTGGTGCAGTTTTAATGGCCAAGTGTAGGGAAAGGGGTGATGAGAGATTATTCTGTTAGCAGGCTCTGGGAATTCCACGGTCAGGCAGAAAGAAGGATTCCTCAACAATGAGGAGTGTGATCATCTCCTTCAATAGTAGACACTCACTGAAGACAAGGAGACATCTCTCCACACTCGCATCATCTTCACAGATGATGGCGGGAGTCGGTGGCCAAAGCCATAAACGCGTTCGCCATTTATCGTTATCTACAAGAGGAAAAATGCATCAGAAAGACAGTATGCCGCCAAACAAGTTTTCAGCTTCCTCTCTACTCTGCCTTAGTACCAATAATATTTCCCAAGAAAACTCCTGGTTATACAAGTGAACCTAATAAGCACACTTCTGTTTACAGATGATGTTTTGTGCCTATTTGAGAAAGTTGCTGACTTTATTTTTTTTGTTTCCTCTAGTGAAGTTCTACACTCTATGTCACACAGTTCCTGTTTACTCAACTTCCCTTCTGACCTAGAAGATCCCCATCACCGGGGACTTTGTGACGGAAACTTGAGAGCCTGCATCTTGCACAGAGGCTGCCACGAGGCTAGTGCTAGACCATGTCCATTGAATGCATACTTTTCAGTTCCATGAACTGACTGCCTTTTACTACTGATGGCACAGTTCCTCTTTGGAGTAGCCTACAAGTGAGGTGGCAGTGGCAAAGAATGAAACCCAGTGTCCTTAGAGAGTTAAAAGAGGACAGGTGTTGTAAAACATAGGATATCATCTTCAACCACTTCTAAGCATAGGAAAAGATCCCTCACTTGAATCTGAATAAAATGACTCTTTTGGCTACTCATCAGAGAAAGCCAGAAAGTATGGATATATTCCTTATACTGACGCTATAGAGAAAGTCACCTTACCAGTATTAATTTTTTTCACATTTAAAATGCACACATTTTTGAGCCAGTTTTTTCATTTTTTTATAAATATCTTCCAACATAAGTGTTTGGAGATTGATAATGACAAAGAGATTGATTAGAAAGTTTAATACAGCATTATCTGTGAGAGTAAAATAGTGAAAACAACTTTAATGCCCAAAAAAGGGTCAAGTTCAATAATTTTGGGTAAAATTTTTAGTGTAATATTATGCAATCTTTGAAAACTGAAGCAGCACCATGGATCGATAATGTCTTCAAGATTTACTCTTTGACAACGAATCCACTTAGTTCCTAAAGCATAATGTGTAGGGAAACTTATATGACAATTTGCTTTAAAGCAAATAAAATTATAGACATATGTATATGCTTACATGGGCAAAGATTTCTCCGAAGGGCGGGGCATGGTGGCTTATTCCTGTAATCCCAGTATTTTGGCAGGCCAAGGTGGGTGGATCACTTGAGGTCAGGAGATCAAGACCAGCCTGGCCAACATGGTGAAACCCCGTATCTTTTAAAAATACAAAATTTAGCCAGGCGTGGTGGCAAGTGCCTGTAATCCCAGCTACTTGGGAGGCTAAGGCAAGGGAATTGCTTAAATCTGGGAGGTGGAGATTGCAGTGAGCTGAGATCATGCCACTGCCTCCAACCTGGAAGACAAAGTGAGACTCTGTGGAGAGAAAGAGAAAGAAAGTAGGCAGGAAGGAGGGAAGGAAGGAAGGAAGGGAGGGAGGGAGGGAGGGAGGAAAGGAGGAAGGAAGGGAGAGTAGAAGGGAGGAAGGAAGAAAGGAAGGAAGAAAGGAAGGAAGGAAGGAAGGAAGGAAGGAAGGAAGGAAGGAAGGAAGGAAAAAAGATTCTCTGTGAAGGAGAGCAGAGCTCTGGAAATGTTGCTCTTATGAGTACAGTTGGGTCCCAAAAGTGAGACGAACGAAGACTTACTTTTTGAATGATTAAAACAACTTTTTTCTTAAGTATATTGTATTCATTCAGCTAAAATGAAAATTTAAATAATGGCATAAGTAGAAATGAGCACTATGGGAAAAGACAGAGGAGATTCTCTACTGGGGGAAATGTCAGGTGAGCCGACCTTGACCTCGGTCAGATTTGGGAACTAGCTGAGGATGGCAGTGCAAGCAGAGGGTGCTCTGTGATGAAAACCCTGGGGCAGGACTATTTATGGGAGATGAGTCCTGATGAACTGGTGGGGCCAGGTCAATAAAAGCTGCTCCCGCTCTGGGAGCCCACAGAGGCCAGGTGCTGGGAGCTCCTGGGGCGCTCACCTGGTACTCATCGTGACGCACGTAGATGTGCACCTCAAATGGCATGCCATCCTGAAAAGGCACATGGTCGGATTTCTCTTCCCACTTCCACACTTCACACTCACGACTGTTCATGACCACACAGTGGCCAAAGTACACTCGGAAATGGAAGGCTATTCCTGAGTCTCCATCCGTGTCAGTGCAGAAATCCACCTGCAGCTGTGGGTCATTGCTGAGGGCAAAGCACATGGCATTGGGAATGTCCCCCTCCTGTGCAGACACACACCTGACACACACACAAATCCCTTCCACACTTTACTCAGAGCAAAAGTCATAGCTCACTGATACAGCAGGCCTGGTCCCTGTGGGGATGCTTCAGCTCCTCATGACCCCAGTTAGCAAGATGCTGTGCTCCTCATTCCCAGATGAAAACTGAGCCACAGTCACTTACCCGGGCCTATGACTTGTTCATTCCCTGAAAATTATGTACCCCATGATGAAGAGCTCCAATTCCAACCAACTGAGAGGCCTCCTCCCCTAGGCCCCATGGCTGGCCCAAATGCAGTTGCTGAAGGTCTCATGTCTGGCGCTGAAGGATCTCCGGGACCTGCACCTACATAGGGCCTCCATCTTGCCAACTAGGCATTTCCACATCACACATAACGTCGAGTCTTTAGCAAATATTTTCCCTTCCCCTCCACCCCCTTCATTGGACTATGTTATACTCACACAAAAGAGAGGTTCGGTCTCCCTCTGATGATCACGCAGGAACCAAAACACAAGGACAAAGGCTGTATGTATGGCACCTGCCAAGGTATTGAGGGTGAGTGAGAGGTGCAGGGGCAGGTGCAGCCTCCCCTCCTGTAACAGATTCCTGTGGTGCAGGAGGTTAGAGATCAAAGGGCAGACTCTGAGGCCTCCCCCTTTCGCCCCATCACAGTCAGGGCCTCATATTCCTGAAGATATGGTGGACCCATAGGTAAGAACAAGAGTTCAGGAGCCAGGATGCCTGGATTTCGGTCCTCATTCTGCCTCTTACAAGCAGTGCAATCTTAGATCCATTACTTGAACTCTCCCTGCCTCAGTTTCCCCAGCACAAGGAGGATTATTGGGAATTTCTACTTTGTAGGGTGTTTTCAGTAATAGAGCAGTTAATATATGTAAAACTCTCACCCCAATCCCTGTCATGTGTAGGGCCTGTTGGGGGTGACCTAGCAGAACAGGGGAGTCCTCCTGAAACACTGACCTGCCTTCATTTTCAACTCGGAAAATGAAAACAAGACTTGAGGATGTAAGAATTTAACAAATTGACTCCAGTGAGAAACAACATTGATGAAAGAGAAAGGGAAATGATGAAAGAACAGGAACCCCTGTGTGAGGGATGCACGTGCCTCACAGTCATCATGGGCCATGGACGTCCTTCCCAGGAGGGGACACATGCTGAGAGCACAGCCCCAGGTCTTGCAAAAATGAAGCCTGTGGGTCAGGGACATAACCGGAGGGAATCATTGATTTCTATGACGACTACAAGTGGTTGATAATTTTTCTGTATTTCTGAGATAGGGTCTTGCTCTGTTGCCCAGGCTGACATGCAGTGATGCAATCATAGCTCACTGAAACTGCGAACTCCTGGGTGGCAGTGATCCTCGCACACCTGCCCCTTCTTAAGTAGCTAGGGTAAAAGGTGCCTGTCACTCTGCCAGTCTGATATTTACAATTTTTTAAAAGAAAGGGTCTCACTATGATGCCCAGAGTGGTCTCACACTTCTGGCTGCAAGTTATCCTCCCATCTTTGCCTCCCAAATCGGTGGGATTACAGCCATGAGCCAGTGACCCCAGCTGCTTTGTTGACTGATATCCACTGTAAGCTCTGTCTGAACTGAGTCTAAACTTGTTCCTTCATGGGTGGAGGAATAAGTTTCGTCTCAGTTGAAACAAAGCTTACAGTGAACATTTTGCTTGAATCAGTCTCTGAGACCACAGCCTCTAATGTCCTTCCCTAGAAAATCAGTATCTCCAAACTCTCTTGTCCCACAATGCAAAGAACAGACTGGGCTGGGATAGGGAAGTCCCCACCTGAGGAGCCATCACCCCCTAGTCTGCATTCCTCTTCTCACTCTTACTGGGAAGAGACATCCACTGATCATACATTCCACTCTCATAAGTGATCTGTAATGAGTCCTTGGTAACTCACAATCCCCAAGATCCCCACCAGTTAAGCCACCTGGAATCCACATTGACACACATGAAAGGACACACAGCTGCTTCATCAGAGGCGCTGCTCTGTGGGGAAGTACCTTCACATGCACAGAAGGCCACATGCATGTCCCCAGTTCAATACCCATTCATATCCCAGCACACACACCCACACACAAACAGAACCATGCCACTCATTGAGTCACACGCACCTGCTCCCCATGCACATAAAGATGCTCATGCAATGGTCTGGCAGTGATCACACACACACACACACACACTCACATCACAGACAGGAAGACAAACCACACTCACCCTCTTACACTCACACACCTGCACATCCTAGTTGGCTGTCCACCTCCCACCTGAAGTCACATCATCTCAGCAGAGTTCACTCTCATCAGATACCATCACATGCTCACAGAGGGTTACACTGGTCCAGGGTCCATATCCCACACCCCACAAGCATCTCAGATACCATAGCCTGAGAGTTTCTCTTCCAACACCCACAGCCCTTAGTAAAGCATTCACAGTAGGAATGCTCACATTTTCATCTCAAAATTTCCCCCGTTTCTTTCTTGGTTTATGTGACTTGAGATTATTGAAGGCTGTGCCTTTTCAACTCACAGGTAGTGGTGGCATTGTTCTCTTCTTCTGAGCGACTCTTCGGAATTCTGTCCTGTCTTCTGTGTGAATCTCTGAGTTGCAGCATTTAAATGATCCCTTTCAGCCCTGCCCTCTGGCTTTATTGCAGATTTCATGCTCCTCCCAGAGAGCTTTCCTTGTAGCATGAGAAAGGCTCGGGGGTCAGGGAAGAAACTCAGTCACAACCACAGCTGTTTGCAGGTTTGTGTCTGTAATGCAGCAGAAATGACAGTGGGAGGTACCAGGCTGTGGATTGAGTTACCAGGGAAATGCATCAATAAGGATGATGGAGTGAGGGGTAGTGATTGTAAAGCCACCCTTTATGCCTCTCAAGCCTTTTCTCCACTATGCAGAATCTACCCAGAGAGTGTACATTTCCCCAATTTGTACAATGGCTAAAAGAAAAAGTTGGGGATTCTGGAGAAAGACATTTGCCCTAGAAGGTAATTCTCTTTGCCTTTGAAGGTTCTGGGAAAGCACTGACCTTGATCCTCAGGAGGATCTGGGGAGAGAAGTAGAGAAAGTTCTTTCATGAACCTGCCCCACACTAGTTCCCTTGGTTCTGCCAGATGAGGGCCACTCTCATCTGTCTGTCACACACCTGGGCTCTAAGTACATCCTCTCCTTTTCCCTGTTCATGTAAATCAAAGTTTCAGAGACACTGTTTTTCCTGTAGATTCTGGGAGAAAAATGAGATTGGTTTTTCTCTTTCATTTTTTAAAACTTTTATTTAAGTTCAGGGGTACATATGCAGATAAAGTTGTGTCATGGGGTTTGTGGTGCATATAGTTTTTTCATCTGGGTACTAAGCATAGTAGCTGATAGTTAATTTTTCTGCTCCTGTCCCACCTTTCACCCTCTACCCTCAAGTAAGCCCCAGTGTGTGTTGGTCTCCTCTTGGTGTCCATGAGTTTCATCATTTAGTTCACACTTATAAAACACTCAGAAATTGGTTTTCTGTTCCTGCATTAATTTGCTAAGAATAATGGTCTCCATCTTCAACCATATTTCTGCAAAAGACATAAACTAATTTTTTAGGGCTGCATATTATTCCATTGGGTATATGTACCACATTTTCCATATTCAGTCTGTTCTTGATGGGCATTTGGGTTCATTCCGTGTCTTTGTTATTGCACATAGTGTTGCAATGAACATCCGTGTGCATATATCTTTATGGCAGAATGATTTCTATTTTTCTGGTTATATATCCAGTGATGGGATTGATGTGTCGAATGGTAGTTCTGTTGTTAGCTCTTTGAGGAATCACCATACTGCTTTCCACATGGGTGAACTAATTTACACTGCCACCAACAACATGTAAGTGCTCCCTTTCTCCACCACCTTGCCAGCAGTCCTTTTTTGACTTTTTAATAAGAGCCATTCTGACTGATGTGAGATGGAATCTCATTGTGGTTTTGATTTGCATTTCTCTAATGTTCAGTGATGTTGAGTTTTTATAATATGCTTGTTGGCCACCTGTATGTCTACTTTTGAAAAGTGTCTGTTCACGTCCTTTGCTCACCTTCTGTTGTTGTGGTTTTAAACCAGGTCTCACTCTGACACTCAGGCTCAAGTGGTGTGGCACCATCTCAGCTCACTGTATCCTCTGGCTCCTGGGCTCAGGTGATCCTCCCAGCTCAGCCTCTGGAGTAGCTGGGACTGCAGGCATATGTCACCATGCCAGGCTAATTTTTCTATTTTTAGTGGAGACTGGTTTTTGCCATGTTGCCCAGCCTGTTTTCAAATTCCTGGGCTCAAGCAATCCACCAGTCTTGGTTGCTCAATGTGCTGAAATTACAGACATGAGCCACTGTGAGAGACCTTTGCCCACTTTTTTAAAAAATGGGTTTGTTTGTTTCTTGTAAAGTTGTTGAAGTTTCTTATAGATGATGAATATTAGGCCTTCTTGAGATACAAAATTTGCAAATATTTTCTCCCATTCTACAGGCTGTTTACTCTGTTGATAGTTTCCTTTGCTGTGCACAAGCTTTTTAGTTTAATTAGATCCTGTCTATCAATTTTTGCTTTTGTCATGATTGGTTTCAACATTTTTATTATGAAATCTTTGCCCATGCCTATGTCCTGCATGGTATTGCCTATGTTGTTTTCCACGGCTTTTAAAGTTTTGGGTTTTACATTTAAGCCTTCAATCTATCATTGATTTTTTAATATGGTGTAAAGAAGGGGTCCAGTTTCAATCTTCTGCATATGGCAAGTCAGTTCTCCCAACATAATTTCTTGAATAGGGAGTCCTTTTTCCATTTCTTGTTTGGTCAGCTTTGTTGAAGATCAGAAGGTTGTGGTTGCGTGGCTTCATTTCTGGTCTCCATTCTGTTTCATTGGTCTGTGTGTCTGTTTTCATACAAATACCATGCTGTTTTAATTACAGTAGCCTTGTAGTATAGTTTGAAGTTGGGTAATGTGATGCCTCCAGCTTTGTCCTTTTTCTTAGAATTGCCTCAGTTATTTGATTCTGTTTTGATTTCATGTGAATTTTAAAATAGTCTTTTTCCTAATTCTGTGAAGAATATCATTTATAGTTTGATAAAATAGCACTGCATCTATAAATTTCTTTGGGCAGTATGGCTGCTTTAATGATATTAATTTTTCTTATTCATGAGCATGGGACATTTTTGCATTTTTTAATATGTCATCCCTGGTTTCTTTGAGCAGTGTGTTGCCATTCTCATTGTAGCGACTTTTTACTTCATTGGTTAGCTGTATTTTTAGGTATTTTATTCTTTTTACAGCAATTGTAAATAAAATTGCATTTCTGATTTGGCACTACACTTCGCTGTTTGGCATATAGGAGTTCTAGTGATTTTTGCACATTGATTTTGTATCCTGAAACTTTGCTAAAGTTGTTTACCAGCTTAAGGACCTTTAGGGTTGAGACTTTGGGGTTTTCTAGATATAGAATTATGACATCTGCAAACAAAGCTGGCATGACCTCTCTTTCTATTTAGATGCCCTTTCTTTCTCTTGCATGATTACTCTGGTCAGGACTTCCAATACTATATTGAATAGGAGTAGTGAGAGAGAACACTGAAGAAATTGTGGTTTGAAAATCCAAGTTGAAGCTCTGCTTCATTCATCACGGAGATTTTGACTATGATCTATCAAATACAAAACAAAACAAAATTCTTCTCTTACTCTGTCGTATTGGTCCCTCACTTGCAAGTACAGGGCCGAATGCACCGGTGCTCAGCACCACGGACAGCACCACGAGGGGTACCAGCTCTGAGGAACTTGGGCATCAAGGACAATATTATCTCAGAGTAGATTTATTCTGTGAGAGGCTTCAACAAAAACTGAAATGCCCAAAGACCTTTGAGAATGAAGGCGTTAGAGTCCAGAAATGACTTTCTGTGTTTAGAGCAATGCCGTATTTGCTGGGAGAAGATCAGGGATTTGGGTTGTGGAGCATGCAAAAGATGTTGAGTAGGTCCCCAGAGGTGATTAAAAAAATTCTTTGCTGAACATTGGCTTTTGAACTCTATGTCCTCTCTTTGTATCTGGGTTGTTATCCTGGCCACCATGAGCAAAGGGTAGTATTGAGATAAAAATAAGTGTAAAAAATGGCCCATGTGAACTAAAATGAGCTGGTGAATCAGTCAAGAAAGGGGAGTCACTGTATGTGTTGCAAGGCTAGTATGTGGAACTCTGTAAGTTATTCAAATAAAATAGGTGTCACCCGGGCAAGCACATAAGAAATCAAACTCATCTTCTGCTCAGGAAGTCATGGGTTCCAGGATAATCTTCATCCACTCAGAGCAAGAATTACCTAATTCCCCAAGAAATAAATTTCATGCTTGTAATGGGGTCTATAATCCATTATCAAAATAAAGAAGTGACCAAGACTGTGACAGGGATGGCATAAGGAGGAGAGTGTACCTAATCAGAACTTGGGAGTTTCCAATGAGAGGGGAGGAAATTTCAGCCCATACTGGAAAGAAACAAGGAAGAGAGGCATGAAGAGTGTAATTCACTGTGCATTGACACCTCAAGGTATCTGTATGTTAGGTTAAAGAAGTAGTACAGAGAGAGGCATACCCATGAGGGAGGTTGGAGTTGAACAAGGTTTGGCAATTAACATGGAGAGAGAGGATGATGATGATCAAAATGATTTTGAGATGGGCCCAGGAGAAAAAGAGGCTATTTAAAGAGACCCTCTTCAATCTGCCTTGGTTGACTTTTAGGGAATATGTTGTTTACCTTCTCCTTAGTGGTTCTCCATTTGGACTATGAAGCAGATAATCACAGCTCTTGTACAGGGAAATGGGCTGTCATTCTGCCATCTTGGTAGACGTGCCAAGAAGCTAGGAATGGAGGATGAAGCCAATTGCTGCAGGGAAACATTCCCAACGAAAATGCAAATCGGGGTCTTTTTGGTTTCCTCAGTGATGTGATCCATGACTGCGGTCTGTTTTCTTTTCTGTTATTGTTTGTTTAAATTTTTAACTCATGTACCAAGAGTCAACATGGTTTCTTTCATTGGGTGGATGCCTTGGTTATCCATTCAAGGAAGACCTCTTATTCCACCTTAATAAAATGTATATTCTTTAAGTACTTATGGAAACAGTGGGGGCACATATTGTGACAGTATTTTAGGAACAGACCGTGCTGGTTTGAGCAGATGTGAGACAAGCGAGAACCCAGGCTGCATTTATGAGTGGCTCTAGTAGAACTGCTGATGACCCCTCTTTCTTTCAGGAGTGCAACTAGGCAAAAGGTGCCATTTGCTATCTTTTGGCCCTCGAAAATAGGTGGTGTTCACTGCATTTTCCTATGTCTGTTTCAGCCTTGTATGTTTGATTTGAATAGGGCAAATAATGTATCCTTTTAGAGCATATGTTGAGAGAAACTGCACCTGATAATTTGTGGTCACCTCATGGTCACCCAATAGTAACTGGATGATAAGATGCTGGACTTCAAAATGAGCCCATTCCTTCAATTGTGTTACCTTAAGTGGTTCCTTGCAGGGAGTGTTTTTGGTATGTAGGAAGCTTTTAAGCCCATATAAACACACATGTAAGCATGGAACTGAGTAAAAACAGTTGCCAAAAATGGCCCCTCAAGATCACAAGTCAAAATAATCACAGCTTGTGGATTCCTCTTCATTTTATTTGGGCTGCTGGTGTCACTCACATTGATCAATGTAATGTCATAGAAGTGACACTGTCTGCCATTTGAAAGGCTTTCATTGATGGAAGCCAATCACCATCCATTAAGTCCAAGAACCATGAGACTCTCATGATTTGAGGAAATTTGGTGCATGAATGGAGAGGTGAGGCAGGGAAGAAGATAACCAGCCAGCCCTCAGGTGTTGACCCAGCCCTAGTATTGAGTCACACATGAGTAAAGCATTCCCTGGAATCCCAGCCTACAGATCCTTCAGAAAACGTGACTCCCACCACGTGATCTACGAACCACATGAGTCCAGTAAACCTGAAAAGCTGGGAGAGATCAGAATCAATGGTTGCTTCCAGCAAATATGTGTTGGGAGGTTTGCTGTGTTGCAATGCCTGAATGTAGCAGCAAGCAGCAAAGCAGAGTCTCCTCACTGTGTCTGTGAATATGAATTGTGTCTATTCTAACAATAAACTACACGTTTTCTGTTCTAAACACCATGACCACTTGTTTCCAAAGAGAAATCCCAGAATTCTGTCCATCTAAATTGGAAAAATCTTGCAAGCATTTAGCAAAAAGAACAATCAGGGTCATTGAAGGAAATCATTAAACTCTGGTGATTCTCTAACTACCTGCTTGGAGTGAAATTTTCTTTTTTTAAATTTTTAAAATTTTAACTTTTATTTATTATTTATTTATTTTTTAAAGACAGGGTTTCACCATGTTGGTCAGGCTGGTCTTGAACTCCCGACCTCAGGTGATCCGCCCGCCTTGGCCTCCATAGTGCTTGGATTACAGGCGTGAGCTGCCATGCCCAGCCAGGAGTGAAATTTTCATATGGGAAATTTGTTATTATATTTTTTTGAGACAGAGTCTCACTCTGTCACCCAGGTTGGAGTGCAGTGGCATGATCTCAGCTCACTGCCACCTCTGTCTGCTGGGTTCAAGCGATTATCATGCCTCAGCCACCCAACTAGCTGAAAGTACAGATGCATGCCGCCACACCCAGCTAATTTTTGTATTATTAGTAGAGATGGCTTCGCCATGTTGGGCAGGTTGGTCTCACCCTCCTCACCTCAAGTGATCTGCCTGCCTCAGTTCCCCAAAGTGCTGGGATTACAGGCATGAGTCACCACTCCTGGCCAGAAATTTGTCATCTTTTTCTAAAGTTCTTTGATGGCAGCCTGCACAGAGCGAGGCACAGTGTTCATATACACTAAACATCCTGAGAACAATGGAAAGAATTAAGAAATTCCCACCTGACTGTCCTAAAGCTACAGTTTCTCCCCATAGCCACCAGTGATACCTGTGAGACTGTAAACAGCCACCTAACATTTCAGTGCAGTGAGTCATCTGAGATTGGGTAAAGATTTTGGTTGAGCATCTGATTGTCAACTACGTGGTATAGAAGGATGTTGTTCCTAATTTCTCAGACGTCCAGGGACCCTGTCACTCACTCCTTGAGTCACAGGAAGGTTTTTCCTCTTTGATGTCTTAATGCTTCCCATACAATCGCTCAGGGCCTCTTGGGATGACTACTTCCTCTTTCCCTCTTTTTTTTTTTTTTGAGATGGAGTCTTGCTCTGTTGCCAGGCTGGAGTGCAGTGGCACAATCTCGGCTCACTGCAACCTCCACCTCCTGGGTTCAAGCGATTCTTCTGCCTCAGCGATTCCAGCCCTGAGTAGCTGGAACCACAGGTGCGTGCTGACCTTGACCCTGGGTCTGATTTAGAATAAAAGATGGTACTGCAAGCAGAGTGCGCTCTGTGAGGAAAAGCCTGGGGCAGGAGTAGTTGTGGGAGATGGGTCCCCACGGATCCCTGGGGCCAGCTCAGGATTAGTTACCTCCTGCTCTGGGAGCCCGCAGTGGCTAGGGCTGCGAGCTCCTGGGGTGCTCACCTGGTACTCATTGGCCAGAACGGAGATGTGTAGGTCAAATTGTTCTCTGACCTGTGCAGGGGCGGATGTGATGGTAGGAAAGGCCAATGTAAGCCATTAGAGCTGCCTCTACCTACAAAAGTAAGAAAGCAAAAGCAACACCGCATTCCTGGAGGGCCTGTACAGGTTAGTGCAATTATGAAGGCCTTGAAAGATGCAAATATGGCGTTTTCATGTGGTTGTTTGGTGTTTTTCCTTGTACATTTGTAGATCCCCATTGACTCACCTATTTGTCCTGTGTAGAAAACAACTGGCTCTTGGAGAACGACAGTGGATTCAGCTTCACCAGATGGGAACTCCAACTGCAGCTGTTGTACCAAATGTGGCATCATTGCCTGAGCAAATGAGCACGTTCCCTGGTGCATGGTGTGCATCCATCCATTGAGAAAATGTGTGGGTTTTTTTTGTAACCTGTTAGTAACAGCCACCAGAAGCAATTGGCTTCCAAGTGAAAGAGGCAACCACCTTCACCCTCCTACCTCACAGTTTATCACACCTCAGCCCTGTGTCAATTTCCTTCACACAGACCCTGGTCACTTCTTTTTTCCAGAAGACATCACGCTGATCCTTTACATTGATATTATGCTGAAACCTGGTGATCAGGAGGTGGCCTGGACGTTAAACATACTGGTAAGACATTTGTGTGTGTCAGAGTGTGGAAAACAAGCTCCAAACAATTTCAGGGGCTTTCCCACTCTGAAATTTCCTGAGCTCCCTGTATGTGACATGTGAAGATGTCCCATCTCAGGTGCAGGACCAGTTGTTATGTGATAAACTTTAAAAGTGGATGACATTTTGATACTTTCTATCACATAAATGAACCCTTAAAACACGCTGGTGTTTGCTGGGCACAGTGGCTCACACCTGTAATCTCAGCAATTTGGGAGGCCGAGGCAGGCGTATCACAAGGTCAGGAGTTCGAGGCCAGCCTGGCCAATGTGGCAAAACCCTGTCTCTCCTAAAAATACAAAAAAAAAAAAATTAGCCAGGAGTAGTGGCATATGCCTGTAATCTCAGCTACTTGGGAGGCTGAGGTAGGAGAATTGCTTGAGGTGGAGGCTGCAGTGAGCCGAGGTGGAGGCTGCAGTGAGCCAAAACACACCACTGCACTACAGCCTGGGTGACAGAGTGAGACTCTTTCGCAAACACAAACAAGTGAACAAACAAACAAACAAAAAAACATGCTGGTGTTTTTAGGCACATTGACTCACTAGACACAGCCTGTGGAACAGCTGCCACTGAGGGACTGGGATGACTGGAGCACCCCTAACAGGTTCAGAGGGAAGGCACTGAGAGTGGATGGAGGGAAGACACAGAAGCTGGGCTGAAGAGGGAGGAAGCTGGGAACCCTGCATGGGGCCACTGCACTCCGGGACTTTTCCTGGCCCACAGGGATTTCATGGGAACAAGTGAGTTGAACCGGTAAGAAGCAACCTTCTTTTGCCACAGTCCCCTGGAATCCTCACATGAGGAGACTTCTCAACCGCCATGGACACTTGAGTAGGCAGGTAGGGCTGCTTAGAGAAGTGATAGGCACAGCATGTAGCCCACATCCTCGCTGCCATAATAACAAGCCACTTCAGCCTCTGATTGGTCTCAGCGTAAACTGGTGTCCATGGTTAAGCATTCACCCTCTGCTAAGGCCAAATAGCAAGCCAAAGGCTTTTTCTTAAAAGCAGGAAAGTTATTCACAAAAAAATGAAGTTATGCTGTGATTTATCTACAGGGGCCTTCCAAAGTTCCCAAGAGCATCACTATCTGCCACTGCCACTTCAAGCACCTTTGCACCTCTGGAGTCCCAGGTGAGAGAAACCCATATGCATCCTGGATCTGGTGTAGACCCTTCTCTTGTGCTGAGTCCTATACAAACTAATAGCTTTTTAGGATACTGGGGAAGTAGGCCAGAGTAGTGTACCCAAGTGAGGCAAGTGTTGCTTCCAAAGTTGAAAGAAGCTTACTAGGCATGTGCCCCTTTGCTGGCGGCAGGAGAGGACTGATGCAACCACTCGTGTTGCACCTGAGAAAGGCCATCTTCACATGCCCAGTGATCGGACACCTGGAAATTTCACTGAGTTGAAAAGCCCCTGAAATTAGAGGAACTTGTTTCCCACACTCTGACACAGACAAACATCTTACCAGTATGTCTAAAGTTGTGGACACCACCTGATCACTAGGTCTCATCAGCATAGTATCATCAATATAAGGAACCCTCATAATGTTTTCTGGAAGAAAGGAGTGACCAGGGTCTTTATGGACTAAATTGACACAGGGTTGGGGAGTTGATATATTCTGATATGGGACAGTGAAGACAGCTGATTCTCTCAACTAAAAGAGAATAGCTTCTGGTGGCCTTTACTGACAGGTACCAAAAATGAAAAAAAAAAACCCACTAATTAGTCAAATAGACATATGCACACACAAAAGGATGTGTTAATTTGCTCAAGCAATAAAACCACATTTGGTACAGAAGCTGCAATCGTAGTTTTCAACTAGTGAAGCTGATGAGAATCCACTGTCATTCTCCAAGAACCAATTGTTTTCTACACAGGCCAAGTAGGCAAGTGAATGAGTGTGGGGTGGAATCATCACCCATGCATCTTCCAAGCCCTTCATGGTTGCTCTAATCTCTGCAGGCCAAGACATGTGGTGTTGATTTTGCTTTCCTGTTCTTGTAAGTAGAGGCAGCTCTAATAGTTCTCATTGGTCTTTTCTGCCATCATAGCTCTCCCTGCACAGGTCAGAAAACCAATGTGGGATTCTGCCATTTGCTGAGTGTGTCCATTCCCCTTATGCAACCTGAAACTCAGCAAATAACCACAGGATAAAGTGGGAACCCACTGGGCAGCTGTGGGCTCTCCAGCACTTTCGCTTTCTTATAACCCTAGCTGAACTTTAAATCCAACTGAAAATCTGCTTATATTTCTTTTTCATACATAGTTATCAGGCCATGAGTAAATTCTAAAAAGATTTGTGGTGAAACATAAATGATTTCCTAATTCACTGCTGGATTCTTATGAATTATATCCCATCAGTGTTTAAGAAATAAGTTGTAGAACATGATTTTTTATTATAAAAACAGAAAAACACTCAAGACACCTATTCACCAAAGGTAGATAAACACATTCCTGCCCCTGTTGAACTGCCAGGAAATAAGAATGCTTGAATCATGGTTATTTGATGAAAGTAGAGTCAAAGGGATTTTTCACAGATGCTAGAAAGGCTGTAATAGACAGAGAAAGATAAAGGATGATGTGGAGGTTTCTGGACTGAGAGGGAGCCTTAGAATGTGAATAACTGAGTGAGTACCATGGTGAAAGCGGCTGTGTCATAACTGAGAAAGGCTGAGCAGAAGTCACACTCCACACTGAAAAAAGAGCGGGGCACTCATGCGGGCTTTCTTCCCCTACCGGGGCTCCAAAGTTCACAGTCTCTCCATTGAACCAGGAAAAGACTAAAACTCCTATGCTCTCTCTCTCAGTTAAGGAATGGAGAATATACAACTTCATTTGGGGAAAGGCTGAGGCCCACACCTAGAAAAAGCTAATTTGTTCATGTAAAAAGTGCTCATGGATGACCATGCCCTGCTCCCATCCTCCTTTCAGACTGAGAAAACAAAAAGCTATTTCACAGAGGAGGAGCTGTAGACTCCAGTGGAAACCAGGGCAGATCTGCTTGCAGAGTGTAAAGCTTGGTCAGAGGTAGACACAAAGTAAACCCTTGAACCAGGCCAAAGAATGTCAGCTCTCACAATGTATGCTCTCCCTACAGGCCCCATTCTGATTCAACCAAAGACATGGCATTATGACACCTCCATTGCCACCCGGGCAGTGACCACCACTTTTCCCTTCCCCCATGTGGGAGCCTGCACCTACATCTCATGATACCCCTGATGATGCCACAGTCTTCTCCTAGGAGGGACTTTTCTCCCTGCAGTATCTTCTTTTGGGTGAACTCTGGGCCACCCCATCCATCTTCAATACTCTCAACACGCTAATCCGTCAAGGGTCTTGATTTCTGCTTTCTCAGTAGGTCTTCTTTCTGCCTTCTGAACAATTAATTATATTCACAGTCACAAAAGGAGTAATGGGAGTAATCTGCTTTACATTTCAAGAAGTCCGTGATCTGTCTGGGAATATTCCCTGAAAGAAGGACTGATCGATCAGCACAAGGTGACTGGGACAATTTTGTATAGAAAGCAGCATTTGCAACTGCTCCAAGCTGGAACCCTACCAATGTCCATCTAGAGTAAAACTGGCATTTGTGTGTTGATATATTCATAAAACTCCAGAGTCCAGTGCAGTGAAAATAAAGGAACTGCAGCTCCACATAGCGATATGGATGAATCTTTTTTTCTTTTTTTTGAGACGGAGTTTCGCTCTTGTTACCCAGGTTGGAGTGCAATGGGGCGATCTCGGCTCACTGCAACCTCTGCCTCCTGGGTTCAGGCAATTCTCCTGCCTCAGCCTCCTGAGGAGCTGGGACTACAGGCGCGCGCCACCATGCCCAGCTAGTTTTTTGTATTTTTAGTAGAGACAGGGTTTCACCAAGTTGACCAGGATGGTTTCGATCTCTTGACCTCGTGATCCACCCACCTCGGCCTCCCAAAGTGCTGGGATGACAGGCTAGAGCCACTGCGCCTGGCCGGATGAATCTTAAAAACAGAAATGTGATCTAAGGATTCACGACCCAGAAGCAGCCCCTCAAGACAAAGCATCTACCAGCATCATTTAACAAAGTGGTGAAACTAAAAGAAAACCAAAGAAGAAAGTCAGGAGACTTGTCTCCTATGGGAGCAAGGAGGTCACGTACTGGGATACAAACAGGTAGAAGCCAACAATTGTGAGTGATGGGCCATGCCTAGAAATGTGGTTTCCCGAGTGCCAGCTTAATAACCACTCATAATAATATCGATTGTCTGGTAACTTGCATGAACTTTTCAAAAGTGGATTCAATTCGCAATCAGTAAACCTAATTAGAGAAAAATAAAGAGAAGGAGAGGACAGATAAAGGGAGGGAAATTCTAATTCATTTCTCCTTTGAATTCTAATATAGGTTTTGAAAAATGTTTTCTTTCATCACAAAGAGAACTTGAGGAAAGGTCCTGAGTCCTCCACCCCAGGCGAGGACTGCATTCTAGCTGAAGTCGGATTACCTGTTCCAGCACCTGTCCTCACACAAGTCTGGAGTGAAGAGGCACACAAATCAAGAACTAGATTAAAGAATCTTACTTTTCTCTCTAAATCTGCAAAAGAAGAAGGGACTCAGATTCTGATGCACAAGGACACCGACACAGAAAACAGAGGATGTCGCTGTAACCCAGGTATGTGAGGAAAACTGGGGAGAGCTCTTCACGCACCAGAGCAAAGGGATCTGGGGTGGGCTCAGGAGGACACAAGACTTTCTTTACCTCTCTCCCCAGGTCCTGCTGAGAATCAAGGTCAGTGCTATCTCAGAAACTCTGGAGGAGGAAGCAGAGAATTCCATTCTAGGGAAATGCCTTTCCCCAGAATCCCCACCTGTTTACCATTGTACAAGTTCTAAAAATGTACACATTCTGGGTGAATTTTGCACAGTAGAAAAAGGTTACCTTAGAGGCATGGATGCTGGATTTCACACCCCCTCACCCAGTACAAAAAAACCTATATGTGGTGGTTCATTTTTAATTCTAAGGGCCTTAGTATGGGTTTAATCAGGCTACATGGAAATAAAGAGATAAGCAGAATGTACTGATCTACCACCAACCCACCCCCTTTCTGCTTTTCCTTTCACCCAGCAGCCAGGTGCCTATCGGTGGGAACCTCACAACTATCCCCTCCCCACCCCACCAAAGAATTCAGTTTAGGCTAGCTTGCAACATAGATAATTGTACCCTTTCTTATCAGCTAAGTGCAGCCACCAGGGCCATGAGTCAAATGTTTAAAGAGTGTGGCTCACGCCTGTAATCCCAGCACTTTGGGAGGCCGAGGCGGGTGGATCACGAGGTCAAGAGATCGAGGCCGTCCTGGTCAACATGGTGAAACACCATCTCTACTGAAAATACAAAAATTAGCTGGGCATGGTGGTGCATGCCTGTAGTCCCAGCTACTCGGGAGGCTGAGGCAGGAGAATTGCTTGAACCCAGGAGGCGGAGGTTGCGGTGAGCCGAGATCGCGCCATTGCACTCCAGCCTGGGTAACAAGAGCGAAACTCCATTTCAAAAAAAAAAAAAAAAAACCGAGTCTGGAGACAGTCGCGATGCATGAAAATGTGACAGAAAGACCCTAAAGAACACACTTGAAGCCTTAATCCAACTACCAATAGGTAATGGTGGGGAATATTGTAACCCCACAGTAATTGGGTTCCTCAACTCATGAGGAACTGGGGGAGGGGCTTGCACACTGGAAATAAATTGTTGAAACCATCCCAGATGTCCCTGCATGCCAGACACATGATCTATTGTAAGATTGTAATTGAAAGTCTCTTTTTTGCTGTTCTCCAGGTCTCTGAGTTCATTCTTTGGGTTTGGATGGTGGGTTTGGGTTTGTTTCTCACAACCCTCGCTTCATTATCCTTATCTGTGCATTTCCCTGGTGACCCTGTACTCCCCCGGTACCTCCCTCACTATCATATCTGCTGCATCACAGACACAGGCATGCAGGTAGGTGTGGTTGTAATTAAGCTTCTTTCCGACATCCCACCCCTTCTCACCCTGCTGGGAAACTTGATGGGAGGGGCTTAGAATCAGGAATGAAGCCAGAGCATGGGGCTGACAAGGAATATTTAAATGTTACAACTCCAAGAGATTCGCACAGAAGCCTGGACACAATTCGAGAGAGCTGCCCAGAGGGGAATAACAATGTCACCACTAACTGAATTGAAAAGGCACAGTGGTCAGTAATGTCAAGCCACACAGAAATAAGGAAGAGGGAGATTTTATGACATAAGCATATGAACTTTTCCATTGTGAATGTTCTACCGAAAGTTGTGGGTGTATTGAAGAGAAATCCTACAGAAATAGCATCTGAGATGCCTGTGGGGTGTGGGGTGTGGACCCTGAGCCAGTGTAACCCTCTGTGAACCTGTGACGGTGTGTGATGAGAGTGAACTCTGCTAACGATGTGACTTTAGGAGGGAGGTGGATGCCTCACCAGGATGGGTAGGTGGGTGCCTGAGTGTATGGGGGCGACTGTGCTTTGTCTTCATGACTGTGATGTCAGTGCGTGTGTGAGCACAGCCGGACCAGTGAATGAGCATCTTTACATGCACAGTGAGCAGGCGTGTGAAACTCAGTGAGTGGCATGGCTTTGCGTGTCTGTGTGCGTGTGTGCTGGGATGTGACTGAGTGTTGAACTGGGAACACGCACATGGCCTTCTGTGCATGTGAAGTTTCCTCCCCACATCGCAGCTGATGAAGCAGCTGTGTATCTTCCCATGTGTGTCAATGTGGATCCCAAGTGGCAGAACTGGTGGGGATCTTGGGGACCATGAGGTATCTCGAGGACTCATCTCTGAGCATTTGTGAGAGCAGAATGCATGGATCCTCAGGTGCCTCTTCCCAAGCAGAGTGAGCAAGAGAAACATAGTCTATGGGGGCAGTAGATTCTCAGGTGAGGGCTGCACAGAGCCTGGCTCCTGCCTCCCAGGCTCAAAGTCCCTGTCTCCCTTCACGTTGTGTGGCAGGAGGGTGAGCAGATCCTGATTTGCTAGGGAAGGACATTGGGAAACTTGGGTTCAGAGAGGAAATCACCCAAAACAAGAAAGGAACATGTTTAGCTTCAGTTTAGGCAGAACCTACAGTGGCTATTCATCAACAAGTTTGCTGAGGCTCGTAATTCCAGCATTTTGGGAGGCCGAGGCGGGAGGATTGTCTGAGGCCAGGAGTTGAAGACCAGCCTGGGAAACATGCTGAGATTCCCTGATTCCATCTTTCCAAAAATTTAAAAAATTGCCAGGAATGGTGGTGCATGTCTTAGCTGCTTGGGAGTTGAGGCGAGAGGATCACTGAGGCCCAGGTGGTTCAAAAGTGCAGTGAGCTATGAGGGTGCCGCTGCATTTCAGCCTGGGTGGCAGTGTGAGACCCTGTCCCAAAAAGAGAAAACATCATTCACTTATAGATTCCCTCCAATCCCTTCCCTGAGCCACACATTCCATGGTGTGGGAAAGAAACATGTAGGAGACAATGGCTTTCAGCAACAGGCCTAGAATTGGGTGGTTACCTGAGTGCTACTTGAGTGATGAATTCATCATAATATACATTTGTTTGGAGACTGGAATCAACATTTCTGTAAATAGTTTAAATTCACAGTCAATAAAACTGAAGTGTAAAATCAAAAGAGAGGAGAAAGGGGGATTCTAATTCATTCCTTCTTTAAATTCCCAGTACTGGTTTTTTTTTTTTTTAATTTTTTATTGGATTATAGGTTTTGGGGTACATGAGCAGAGCATGCAAGACAGTTGCGTAGGTACACACATGGCAGTGTGCTTTGCTTTTCTTCTCCCCTTCACCCACATTTGGCATTTCTCCCCAGGCTATCCCTCCCCACCTCCCCCTCCCACTGGCCCTCCCCTTTTCCCCCCAATAGACCCCAGTGTTTAGTACTCCCCTTTCTGTGTCCATGTGTTCTCATTTTTCATCACCTACCTATGAGTGAGAATATGCGGTGTTTCATTTTCTGTTCTTGTGTCAGTTTGCTGAGGATGATGTTTTCCAGATTCATCCATGTCCCTACAAACGACACAAACTCATCATTTCTGATTGCTGCATAATATTCCATGGTGTATATGTGCCACATTTTTCCAATCCAGTCTATTATCAATGGGCATTTGGGTTGATTCCAGGTCTTTGCTATTGTAAACAGTGCTGCAATGAACATTCGTGTACATGTGTCCTTATAGTAGAACGATTTATAGTCTTTTGGATATATACCCAGTAATGGGATTGCTGGGTCAAATGGAATTTCTATTTCTAAGGCCTTGAGGAATCGCCACACTGTCTTCCACAATGGTTGAACTAATTTACACTCCCACCAACAGTGTAAAAGTGTGTCTGGAGCGGACCTCAACAGTCGTACAGCGAAGGGGCTAGACTGGTAGAAGGAAAACCAAGCAACAGAAATACTTCATCATCAACATTCTGGGTGTCCACTCAGAGACCCAAACGAAAAGTCAGCAACTACGCAGACGACCAGCGGACAAATCCACAAAGATGGGAAGAAACCCAGTACTGGTTTTAAGGATGTTTCCTTTCATCACAAAAAGAGAACCTGAGAAGGGGTCCTGAGTCCTCCACTTACAGTGCATTATAGCTGAAGTCCTACCACTAATAGCTGCCCCTGTCCTCATGCTGGTCTGGAACCAAGGAGCACACAAATCAAGGACTAGAGTTAAGAACTCGCCTTTCTCCCAGAGTCTAAGTCTCTGAGATTTTATTGCATATGGACACCCAGAGACATATAAGAGCACATGGAGGGATCCCAGGTGTGTGAGAGGTAAGAGTGTGAATGGCCCTCACCGGGCAAAGGCAAGGGGCCTGACTGGGGTCAGGATGACAGAGTCTCTATCTCTCTCCCCAGGTTCTGCTGAGGATCAAGGTCTATGGCCTCTGATAAACCCTGGAAGAGAAAGAAGAGAATTTCCTTCCAGGGCTGGATGTCTTCCCCCAGAATTCCCACTCTTTCACCATTGTGCAAGCACTGTGGAGAAAAGGCTTCATGGGAGGCATGGGGCCTGGACTTCACACCCCTCACCCTCACTCCATCATCCTTATCTGTGCATTTCCATAGTGACCCCTTCCTCTCCCTGGTACCTCCCTTACTATTTTTTCTGCTGCACCACAGATAGAGGCCTGCAAACAGGTGTGGTTGTCACTGAGTTTCTTTCTGATGCTCTACCCCTTCTTATGCTGTGGTGATTCCTTGCTTAGAGGGGATTGAAAACGAGAATGAAACGAGAGGGGCATGGCTGACAGGGACGGTTTAAATGCTGAACCCCAAGAAATTCACAGATTCACACAGAAGAGTGGACACAGTTAGGAAGAGCTGCCCAGAGGGAGACAACAATGCCACCGCTACCCATGAGTTGCAAAAGCACAGCCCTCAATTCTCTCAAGTCACATAAATAAATGAGGAAAATGGGCAGATTTTATGAGAAGAAAATTGAAGCATTTGTACTGTCAATGCCTTGCTGAGAGTCATGGGTGTATGAAAGAGGAAGACCCCGGGAAAATGATCTCTGACCCCTGTGGGGTATAGGGTGTCGGCCCCAGAACAGTGTAATCCTTTGTTAGCATGTGATGGTGACAGCAAACTCTGCTGAAATGTGACTTTAGGTGGAAGGTGGATGGTACACTAATATAGATGGGTAGGAGAGTAAGTGTAAAGGGGTGGTACAGGAGTTATTAAGAAATAATATTTAGGCTGGTAGTAAGGGTAAAGGTTCTTGGAAATTTTCCTGTAATAAGAGACAACTCCCTATAATCCCAGCACTTTGGGAGGCCGAGGCGGGTGGATCACGAGGTCAAGAGATCGAGACCATCCTGGTCAACAAGGTGAAACCCGGTCTCTACTAAAAATACAAAAAAATTAGCTGGGCGTGGTGGCGCACACCTGTAGTCCCAGCTACTTGGGAGGCTGAGGTAGGAGAATTGCTTGAACCCAGGAGGCTGAGATCACGCCATTGCACTCCAGCCTGGGTAACAAGAGTGAAACTCCGTCTCAAAGAAAAAAAAAAAAAAAAAAAAAAGAGACAACTCCCAAAACATATCTTCTCTATCAGAAAAGGCAGCTTCAAGGGCCCAGCTGGGAAGCTTTGATATGGAAATATTGGCCTTTGGAAACTGAGTTTTCTCAATATGGTGATTCCCGCTCTTTCCCTTGTCACCAGGTGTACCAAGTGGCATGGTCACCTCCAGATAACACCATGCGTTTGAAATATTATGGCGTCCCACATTTGCATATTAAAGGGCTTAGGTGGGAGGGTCAGGTTTTTTGTGGGCTACAGAAATGACACACCTGGTCAAACAAATCCTCTGGACTCTATGAAAACCAGACGCCGCCTCCTCCAGAATCCCAGTATAAGCAGCCACTTTTTTGCTGCACACGGGGTTTTTGCTTTGTTTGAATCCCCTCTCCCTCTCTCTGTTTTCTTATTCCTTCTTTCTTTCTTGCTTGTTAAACTTTTCACTCCTTAAAACCACTCCACATGCGTCTATGGCATTAACCCTATCACCACAAGACCAGGGACCCTCGTGTGCCTCCAGTCATCAGAGCCGTATCATTTTGGTGCTTTGGCCGGGAATGCGAATTCATTCATCACACTGGTGAGCATGCATCAGATCTCAATTTTAAATCTGTCCTTTAATCTCGACTCCTTTCCAGCTATCCTGCTGCCAAACTTTCTTTCTCCACCCATGGTCTCTTACTCTCTGTGTGTGTGCGTCTAATGTGCAGGACTCATATTTCAGGGAAACAAGTCCGTTAGAGAAGATCACAAATCAAGACAGGCAGTAACTCAATAAATTTCTGTCTCTCTAAGGTTTCTCTGGCGAGCACATGGTAGTCTTCTTTTAAAAATTTTATTTATTATACTTTAAGTTCTGGGGCACGTGCAGATTGTGCAAGTTGTTAGATAGGTGTACACATGCCATGGTGTTGGTTTGCTGCATCCATTGCCCCATCATCTACATTAGGTATTTCTCCTAATGCTATCCCTTCCCAATACCCCCAACCCCTGCTATTCATCCTAGCCCTCCACACCCCCCAGGCCCCGGTGTGTGATGCTCCCCTCCCTGTGTCTGTGTGTTCTCATTGTTCAACACCCACTTATGAGTGAGAATATGCAGTGTTTGGTTTTCCATTCTTGTGTCAGTTTGCTGAGAATGATGGTTTCCAGTTTCATCCATGTCCCAGCAAATAACATGAACTCATCCTTTTTTATGGCTACATGGTATTCTATGGTGTATATGTATCACATTTTCTTTATCCAGTATCTCATTGATGGGCATTTGGGTTGGTTCCAAGAATTTGCTATTGTGAACAGTGCCACAATAAACATACGTGTGCATGCGTCTTTATAATAGAATGATTTTCATATACCCAGTAATGGGATTGCTGGGTCAAATGGTATTTCTAGTCCTAGATCCTTGAGGAATCACCACATTGTCTTCTACAATGGTTAAATTAATTTACACTCCCATCAACAGTGTAAAAGCATTCCTATTTCTCCACATCCTTTCCAGCATCTGTTGTCTCCTGATTTTTTAATGATCGTCATTCTAACTGATGTGAGGTGGTATTTCAATGTGGTTTTGATTTGCATTTCTCTAATGACCAGTGATGATGAGTTTTTCATATGTTTGTTGGCTGCATAAATGTCTTCTTTTGAAAAGTGTCTGTTCATATACTTATGCCCACTTTTTGGTGGGGTTGTTTTTTTCTTGTAAATTTGCTTAAGTTCTCCACAGATTCTGGATATTAGCCCTTTGCCATAAAGGTAGATTGCAAATTTTTTTTCCCATTTTGTTGCTTGCTGGTTCACTCTATTGATAGTTTTTTTGCTGAGCATAAGCTCTTAAGTTTAATTAGATCCCACTTGCCTACTTCAGCATTTGTTGCCAGTGCTTTTGGTGCTTTAGTCATGAAAGTCTCACCCATGCCTGTGTCCTGATCTCATGTTTAGATATTTAATCTATCTAGAATTAATTTTAGTGTAAGGTGTAAGGAAGGGGTTCAGTTTCAGCTTTCTGCATATGGCTAGCCAGTTTCCCAGCACCATTTATTAAATAGGGAATTCTTTCCCCATTGCTTGTTTTTGTCAGGTTTGTCAAAGATCAGATGGTTGTAGTTGTGTGGCATTCTTTCTGAGGCCTATGTTCTGCTCCATTGGTCTATATCT